CCCCAAAACCCCAAAACCCCATGATTCACTTGATTGAGAAATATTTCGATAAGTTATATTCTCTAATAAATAGATATTATTTAGATTTCCTCTATCACAGTTTCCTAATATTTTGATTATCAGTTTTAAGGACTGTTTGGATTATTCTGCAATTTACTCTAAAGCTCTAAAGTTAATTTCCTCAGATTTTCAATCTCCTATTCCATATGATTATTCTTTTGCATTTAGTATTGCAAGTGTTTTTCAAGCTTATCAACCTTAGAGGCAGATGTAATTTAACTAATTCTAATGCTAGTTGTATCTCTATAGAAAAATTAAATTAAGGATGTTATCTTACGTATTTTAAATAGATTTGTTACTTCTGTTAATTAGCTGATGATGATTATTGTTATTCTAGGTAATATATGATCTCTTTGATCTCCCAGTAATTTGAGAAGGTGCAACAGATTATCTTGAGGCCTAGGCATAGCTTCTTATTTCATCAAAATCTTTTTAGCTCAAGCCTTCTCTCAATCTATCTATATCCAATTCTTGCACTTAATCTCTTTCTTCATCATTGAAATTAGACTAATCAATATTTGCAGTATTCTCATTCTTCAAATCAATATCTTATTCATAAGATATAATTCCATCTTCTTATTCAGGATTTAGATATTAGATCTATTAATCTCTGAGGTCTTTAGCCGATTTATGATATAAATTAGAAAATGTAGATTGCCTCTCTAATTTATCATCTCTTGTTTGCTATAGATCATTACCTTCATTTTTGAAAGTTCTAATAGTCTTAAATGGCTTTCCATTATTCATAGTTATCAATTTATCTATCAACTAGACTTATCTTTAATTCAAGGGTGTGCCCATTTGCTTAATCTTAAATTAGCTCTATGATCTTTAAAGTCTTTGATCTCCTCCTAGGTTTGATCCCCCAATTCCATTTTATATATTTTAGGTGTTCAATGCTTAAGTCCTCATAAACTGATTATAATTTTAAGGATAGTAGGTCTTCATATTGGAGTCAATTTCTTCAGCTAATGGGCGACGTTAAATTGATTTAGTCGTGCTGGCCCTACTCTGAGCAGACATTGGTCTGCTGCCTCTCTAATCAGCTATTTACAATTGCCTTCTCTGACTCATTTAAGAAGTATTGACAGCAGCACTTACTCGTGATTTAAAAGATTTCATGGATGTCAAGTCATCAACTAAACCGTTATTTTACCCTTATCTACTTTAAGGCCTGCTCTGAGGTTTTACTGCTACAGGTGGCTCATTTGCAATATTCGTTCTATGAGCCAACTTTTATTTAGCTGCTAAGAATATACTTTATTAACTCGATTTTGGCTTATCATTATTGCTTTGGGATTACTTATAAAGTTGATATGTAGTCGAACTTCGCATAGAGGATGATGTTGTTGGTCTTATACTTTGCTTTTCTTCAACTTCAATATTCAAGCGATCTCTTATATTAGTCTTTCCACCAAACATATAAGACTATTTATTCTGAGGCATGTAATAAATTTTCTTATTCATTGACTGAACCTATTATTTTTCATTTGACTATACATTTCTACTGATCTGAGTTTCCATAAAACTACAAAATATAGTTAAATTTAAAATAAAGGCATACTTTTAAAGTGTAGTAGTGTATTTGTGAGGATCAACGTCTAAAGTATGAGTGATTATCTACTAAGGTGATAAATGAAGCTTGCCGTCTAGGTTTTTACGATAATCTACCATCTCTTTATGGACTCTTTGCTTCCAAAACATATGATGCTCATGATATGTCATTTTTTTTTTAATTCGGTGGATGGGTAATTAAACTCAAGAAATAAAATCTAACTTAATAAAAATTCTTTCCATAGTAAATGTATAGTACGGGGTTTTGGGGTTTTGGGGTTTTGGGG